CAATGATACTTAAGGAAGAAGTCTAATGTGTACTAAAAGCACTGACAAAAGACAAGTCTTCGGGAATTGAAGTAACACAAATTGAAAGCATTTACCAAACTGATGTAACATTGGAGGAACTCATCCATCTATGCCAAGAAATTTGGAAGACAGCTACCTGTCCAACTGATTGGAAGAAATCCATTTTTATGTCCATTCCAAAGTGAGGTGAACAAATAGAATACAGAAACCACCAAACAGTATCATTAATATCTCATGCAAGTAAAGTTTTGCTAAAGATAGTTATAAGATGACTGTAACAGTACATTGGCAGGAAACAGCCAGAGGTTCAAGCTGGATTCAGATGAGGATGTGGAATAGGGATGTCATTGCTGATGTCAGATGGATACTGGCTAAAAGCAGAGAATACCAGAAAGATATTTACATGTGCTTTATTGACTACACAATGGCTTTCGATTGTGTGGATCATGACAAGCTATGGACAACATTGTAGAGAATGAGCACTCTGAAACACTTACTTGTGCTCATGAGGAATCTGTACATGGACCAAGAGGCAGTTGTTTGAACAGAACAAGGGAACACCGAATGGTTTAAAATTAGGAAAGGTGTGAGCCAGGGTTGCATTCTTTTACCGTACTTATTCAATCTATATACTCAACAAATAACCTCGTAACCTGATGATATGAAGAAGAGCATGACATCAGTATTGGAAGAAGACTCATTAACAACCTACAATCTACAGATGATATAATCTTGCTTACTTAATGTGAAGTGGACTTAAAATACTTATTGATGAAGACCAAAGACCACAGCCTTCAGTATGGGTTGCAGCTCAATGTAAAGAAAACAAAAATCCTCACCACTAGAGCAATAACTAACATCACAATAAATGGAGAAAATATTGACGTTGCCTAAGATTTAATTTTTCTTGAATTTACCAACACTCATGGAATCAGCAGTCAAGAAGTCAAAGGACAAATTGCATTAAGCAAATCTGCTGCACAAGACATTTTTAAAGAATCGAAGAGCGAAGATGTCAGTTTGAGGGAAAAAAGTGTGTCTGATCCAAGCCATGGCATTTTCAATAGCCTCATATGCATGTGAAAGTTGGACAATAGTTAAGAAAGACTGTAGAAAAACTTACTTAATGTGTTTGATGTATAGCATTGGAGAAGAATGTTAAAGCAACCATGGACTGACAGAAGAAAAAACAAATATGTGTTGAAAGAAGTACAACCAGAATGCTGCTTAGAAGGCAAGATGACCTGACTTTGTCTCTCATAATTTGAACATATTATCAGGAGGGACCAGTCCGTGGAGAAAGACATCAAGCTTGGTAAAGTGGAGGGACAGCAAAAATATGGTAAATCTCCAATGAGATGGATTGAATGGATTCAAGCATGGTAGCAGTTGTGAGGCTGGCCCAGGACCAAGTGATGTTTCATTCTACTATGCATAGGGTTGCTTTGGATTAGCGCTACCTCAATGGCACCTAACAGCAACAACAACAAGATTTGTTTTACTATTGATACTTCAATATATGGATTGATTTCTAGGTGGTGCTGTCATGTACGGTAATCTCACATTGTTGTCTGATGTTGTCGGTTCTCTATCCAAAGAACACCCTTTAGTATGTTTTGTAAAGTTGATGTTGTTATGTGCCATGGAGTTGGTTCTGACTCATAGCAACCCTGCATAGGGTTTCCGAGACTGTAAATCTTTATGGGAGCAGAAAGCCTCATCTTTCTCCCGTGGAACAGCTGGTAGTTTTGAACTGCTGACTGTGAGATTAGCAGCCCAATTCATAACCACTACAAAAATTGATGTAGTTATTAAAAATTCTTTTAATTTCTATTTATTGGAAAAGTCCTAATTTGCTATCATATTTGAAGAACAATTTTGCTGGGTATATGAATCTTGGTTGGCAATTTTTTTCTTTTACAGTTTCATATATACCATCCCATTCCTTTCTTTCCTTCATGGTTTCTGTTGAGAAATCATGCTCAATCTTACTGTTTCTCTTTTATGGGTAACTTTTGGTTTTCCTGAGCTGCTCTCAGGTTTCTTTCTTTGTCTTTGGTTTTGTAACATCTGATTATAATATGTCTTGGTGATTTTTTTTTTTTTTTGGGGGGGGGTAATCTGTACTCTTTGGGGTTCGTTCATATTCTTGAATTCTTATCTTCTCCTCTTTCATGATGTTAGTAAATTTTTCTTCTAACAACTCTTGACAATTTTCTATGTTTGTTTTTTTTTTTCCTGTTCTGGAATTCTGATCACATGTAAGTTATTCTTCTTGATTGTGTCCCACATAAATCATAGGCTTTCTTTGGATTTTTTTTTTTTTTTTTTTTAACTTCTCTTTTCTGATTGTACTTCTAACAGAAATAGTATGGAGCAATCTGTCTTCACGCTCACTAATTCAGCCTTCCATTGATTCAAATCAATCTCTTTGCCCTTTCAATGCATTATCTATTTCTGAAATATTTTTGTTAATCTTCTGTATTTCCAGTTGCAGTTGTATTCTTTCTAATTTTTCATTTATTTTGTATATATTTTTTCTTGTAGTGGTTTTCTGGATCTTCTAAAGTTTATTTTCTGTGTTCTCCTTGCTTTCATCTGCAACTTTCTTGATCTTTTTGTCAATCTCTTGTAGGTATCTAAATATCATACTTTTGAATTATTCACCAGGTCATTCCAAAACCTTTTCTTCTTGATAAAATTGTTTTGGTTCTTCATTTGGTCACTTATTTGAGTCATTCTGTCTTGTTTCTTTGTGTGAGTGGAAGTTGTCTATTGTCCTTGAAACATTTTGATATCACTGTATTTGTATTTAATTGTTGACTGTATGTTAGAATGTTTCTAGGCACTCGCTACCTGCCTCCTGGTGAGTGTGATTAGAGAATGGAAGTATGTGCACAGTTCTATCTTCATTGTTAGCGCCACATAGTTCAAGGTGAGTTTAACTAGTTTGGGCTGTCGTCTATCATCGATCAGGGGTACAGGAGCTAGTAGTGTTTCTTATCCAGTGGGTGAGACTTCAGGTGGTATGGTGTGACTGTGCTGAATGGAATGGGCACTGTTGCTTTCTTGTTGCTAGCCACAGTGTGTATCTGCACTATCAGGTTACCTGCTGGGTCCTATGCTACTGGCAAAAGTTCAAGACAAACCTAGTTTGCCCATCTGTCAGGGAGGCTATTTTTATTTTTTAAATCCCATCTAGATACACTCATGGTCTTCATTAGTGACAATTGCAGACAAAATCTGTGGTCAATGTTATTTTATGGATTGTAAAAGAGTGTATCTTTTGATACAGGTTTTTGGATGGCTATATCATGATTACTCTAAAATGTTATTTCCATTAAATTTTTATTGATTTCTCAACAAAACTTCTCATAATTAGCTCTATATTACCCTGCCCATTATGTTGCATTTTAAAAGATAAATATATATAATAGTCACAATATAGCTATGGGAATGGAAATAATACCGATGATTTAACTCTTACCTTTACATGTTTTTAATTTGTAGCTACTCTTTCACAGGAGTCTTGGTGTGGTTCTGTAGAATAAGCACTGGACTGCTAACCACAAGGTAGATGGTTCAAACCCACCATTTGCTCTTACGAAACCCTATGAGTTAGAACCAGTTCAATGACACTTAACAACAACAACTCTTTGATTACCTTTATGTACTCTGTCATAACACTGGTCTTTTAAGACTGAGTTCATGCTTTTCATATTTTAAATATATGAGTTGATTTTTGTTTCAAGTTATTGCAACTAAATATTTAATTAAATTATAACATAAATTGAAAAATATTTACTTGTGTTTGCTTCCTTATTTCCTTATATTGTCTTTGTAGTAATATCAATCAATACCAATACTGTTCTGGAGGATATAGAGAAAATGTTAGATGTGTCTTCTATTTAAATTTCTATTATTGTATTAAAGGAACCAAGGATTATTGAATATAACATTAAAGAGTTCTATGTGATTATCTTCAATTTGTGCCCCATATTTTCTGGTAATCCCCAAAGTATCAAAAAGAAGAACTTATTTGAAATTCTGAAAAAAGGCATTCATATTACCAGTTCAGTGTAAGGTTAGATAATGGAGAAGGCTAGACTAATGAAGATTATAAAATAAATTTCATGATGACAAATCACCAACAAATCAACTCATTACATGATTTTTACTTATATAGAAAAACATTTTGTCTGTAGTTAAGCATATTGTTGAAATGAGATAACAACGAAAAGTCATGGTGGTTCTATTGGGCCATGGCAAGCAATGTATTTGTTTATTGGATCTTCACAGGTGGTCTATCCCAACTCCTGCCTGCCACATCCCTTTTACTAATCTCAAGTATAATCAATCAACAGCACTGGTGAGCAATTCTTATTACTAGTATTACCTAAGAGATAAAGATTGGATGAGCTAAAACGTTCATCTTGTGTGTTAATTGTACTGCTTTAGAAAAATGCATTTTATTTGCATATGTTTTATAGTCATCTCAGAGAATCATAAAAATCTAGACTCACAGAAAGTAAGAGACAAGGGAATCCTTAGACTTAATATTCTCATTTGCGTGTAATATAGATTTATTCCAATTTCCATGTCTCAAACATAGCAACAATTGTGAGAATGGCACAGGACCAGGCAGTGTTTTATTCTGTTGTACATAGGGTCACCACGAGTCAGAACAAACTCGACAGCACTTAACAACAATAATATGTGTAGTAAGAGAGCAAGTAACAAAAATGCAGAAAGATTTTTTAATGAGTGCATTCAATATTTCTTAAAGTATATATTTATTCATCTTAAACAATTTTAAATAACCTGATTCTTTTTTGGGGGGGATCATATTCAATATATATTTCTACCTTATATTGAGTAACTGAAGACACTTGTCTAATGTTTTGATTTTTGAAGATCAAAGTTTAAAAAAAAAAAAAGCTTAAAGTCTTTTAAGTCCTCTATTGCTAATAATGACTGACCTTAGTCCTTGCCAACAAAGGAGCACCTCGTTCCAGGAGAAGTTCCACCACTTGGTCATGACCACTGCGTGCAGCACAGTGAAGTGGGGTCAACCCATCCTGCCAAAAAAAAAATGAGAGAAGAAGGTCTGAGTTGAATTTTTTCCCCAAGATCATACCGAACCTCAGAGAAAGTTTCCTGAACTCAATCCTAATGACTTAGTAGATAAGTAATAGAATTGCAATTAATTCAAAGCTAGAGAAAAGGAATGAGAGAAAATAAGAGAGACAGAGACATAGAGACCAAGAAAGAGTGAAATGAAAACATAGGCAAACAACATAGTTTCCAAGGAAGGAAGATCAATGGGTTGGATATGGCTACTGGTCACATGTTTGCATATTCAGGAAGATGGAAAAGCAGAGTAATGTGTATTTGTTGACTTTTAAAGCTCTACTCAATTGGAACCACATTCAGAGATTACGTTAAATTATACTGTTTTCACTTTGCTTGTCCTAGTTTCTTTTAAAGATTTCTGCAGATATCAATAAAAAAAAATTTAGCAAATAATATTAAACTTAAGCCAAAATAAATTATGACATAATTATGTTTTGTTGTCACTAGGTGCTGCACATTAAGTTCTGATTCATAGTGACCCTATGCACAACAGAATGAAACACTGTATGGTCTTTTTAACTATGGCAGCCTCACAACTGTTGTTATTTAATTATTGTTGATTGAGTCCCTTTTGCTGCCACTGTATCAATCATCTTGGTAGGGGGCTATCTCTTTGGCACAACTACGTTATTGCAATTGAGTCAGTTCTGACTCAGGGTGGCACTGTATAGGGTTTCTAAATTGGAGAGTTTGAACCATCAACTTTGTGGTTAGCAGTCCAATGCCGATCCTACACCACCACACCAGGACTGTGTTATTTAGAAAACCTTCTGCCCTTGATACCTCCTGGGTAGCTTCTTACTCCAGAGCAACCCCCAAATACCCTTTGCCTTTTATTTGATTTTTCTGTTGACTGGCATGGCCACACACATGCAAAAGTGGAATCCATGGGAAACATGAGGCAAAATGCAAGGAAAAAAGGGCAAAATGTGAGAGAGGAAATGAAATCCCTGAGTACATAAATTAATTGTGAATTGAGGCTCAAGGAAAAAAAAAAAGTTTACCACAAGAAAAGTGTAGTGGGTGGGGGGTGGGGGAGGGAAGGGACAGGTTGTAATCAGAGGAAATATGGGATGGTGAGCAATTAAGAGGATTTAAGAATCTTATGGTTTATCTCTTGTAGTGTAGTAGTTATGAGTCAGGCTGCTAATCTTAAGGTCAGCAGTTCAAAACTACCAGTCGTTCTGCAGGAGAAAGATGAGGTTTTCTGCTTCCATAAAGATTTACAGCCTCAGAAACCCTATTCAGGGTGGCTGAGTCAGAATCGACTCGGTGGCACACCACCACCGCCACCACAATTTATTGAGAACTGCATCATGGAACATACTTCTACTTTGACACATGACGTCACCATCAGTTGGAATCTATTCAATGACAAATGGAAAGATAAGGGTATAATGGCTTTTGTCTCTGTTTCCATGACCATCTTGCTGGGTTATGCTTTCCTCTTAATAAAAATAATTCATCTAGATTACACCAATCTTTCTTTGATCCAACATTCTGACACTTTTACGCTGAATATCTTCCATTTGACCCTGTAGGTCCACACTCTCACCTTTCTCCACTCTGCTGAGTCCTGACAGACTAACTCTCTAGATTGTGTCAGTGAGTTCTCTTGCCCTCTGCTTTCTGGGTTTGGTCAAGGGAAACCCAGAAAGCGATGGAAAAGACTTCTTGAAAGGTTTCCTAAATTTAGCTGTATTTCTCTATCAAAAGTTACAGCTCTTGCAAAGCAACCTTTCTCCACAGAATTCTCTCCTCTGAGGTCTTGGTACCTTCCACTCTCCACCGTTCAGATCTAAGGCTGGTAATGAGTACTGATGCTACAATCTTCTGGGGTACAGCACTACCCTGATCCTGTGTAACTTTGTACGATAGACACTGGACTGCTACCCACAAGATAAGTGGTTCAAACCCACCAGCTGCTCCTCAGAAACCCTCTACAGGATAGTAATGAAGCATAACCAATTTGATGACACCTGCAACAGCAATTGAAATTTCAAATTTTTTTCTGTTAAAACCCTTTCTGGTAACAATTTCTTGCTGTAACTAGTAGTAAGATACTGAATAACCCAAACAGAACTGGCTATTTTAAGTGTCTGCAGATTAGCATGAAGAGGCTATGTTTCCAGATAAAATCACGTAGGTACTGTAGCTGAGACAATAAAGCTATTTTGAAATTTGTCTGAGACAGGGTTAAAAGAAAAATGGGGAAAAGTGTTTTAACTGATTATCTTTTCATATCTTGATAACATTTACCCGTGATGTCATTAAAGAGTATGCACTTACAACTTTAGTTACATGTTGTTGTTGTTGTTAAGTGCCGTGGAGTCAGTTCAGACTTATAGTGACCCTGCACAGGGTTTCTGAGGCTGTAAATCTTTACAGGAACTGAACACCTCATCTTTCTCCCATTAGTTACAAAACATCTAGATAGAACTTGGTTTCTCAAGCACATCCTTGGTGCCGAGAGTTCGAGAAATCTGACACAGTGAATGAAGGCTTCATGTGCAATGAGTAAGTGTTGGACTCCTGGATGTGAATCTCAGATTAGCCTCCAGGAGTGAGTATAAAAAGTGGAGATGATTTCTCTTACTCTACGACGGCACAACAACAACAACAACAACAACTTAATTCACAGATTTGTTTAAAAGATTAAGGAATACTATCCCTTTAGTCCTTTTTTTAAAAATGTGGAACATCCTTTTAAAATTATTTTTACATGAAATATTCACTGTATAATCTGTTGAAACCTTCCAAAGAATAGGAATATTATAGAGAACATTTAATCAACCCATACAAATTTCAAGCAACAATGAGGTTTAAACTGATTATAAATCGTACATTCAATGATGCAATTTTCTGACTTTATATATGTATTTAAAATTGATTCTGATTCATAGAAACTCCTTGTACAGAGGTTTTGACACTGTAAAGGTTTATGGGAGCAGAAAGTTTCATCTTTCTCCCACAACTTTATAAAAGACATGTGAATTATGACATCAAGCCAATGCTGCCCAAAAGTTTAATATAACTTAATGTACAAAGTAGAAATCAAATTATTGTATCAAATTAATATATTACTGTTAGAAAAAACACAATTTTTATATCTGAGGAGCTTCTTACTTAAATTAAGACTGTGCTAGGAGGCTATATTTTATATCCCTTCAGAGTGTTCTTTCAAGTGTTATTTTTTTCTCTACTGGAATAACTTCAAATCACACTAAGATGTGGCTAATTCTTAAAGGGGACGATCAGTCAGCTTTAAAGAAACACCATCTGTCTGGTAGCCCACAGCATTAGCTTCTTGTAACCATTTGTTTCCTTGTCTTTTCTATTCCATCCTTGCCACTTATTTAATTCATTCAACAACATATTCTGACGTCAGTGTTGAATGTAAGATGTGCTTAGTACTCACTTGTATATCTTAGGTCAAGTTACATAATTCTTCTGAAGTTTAATTTTCCCTTTGATAATTTCATATCTCAAATGGATTTATATCTTTATATTTTTTATAAAGAAAATATATGCATGTTTCATAGTTTGTTTGTTTGTTTTTTTGCCATTAGATTCCATTGAGTCAGAATAGATTCACCCTGACCCTTGTGTACAACAGAACAAAATACTGTCTGGTCCTATGCCATCACCACAATTGTCATGTTTGAGCCCATTATTGCAGCAACTGTATTATTCTATCTTGTTGAGGGTCTTCCTCTTTTTGGCTGACCCTCCACTTTACCAGGTATGATGTTCTCCTATCAGGACTGGTCCCTCCTGATAACATGTTTAAAGTATGTGGATGAAGTCTCGCCATCCTCGCGTATAAGGTGAATTCCAGGTACACTTATTCCAAGACAGATTTGTTTGTTCTTCTGACAGTCCATGGTACTTTTAATATTCTTCTCCAATACCACAATTCAAATGCATCAGTTCTACTCTGGTCTTCCTTATTCACTGTCTATATTTCACATGCATATGAGATGACTGAAAAACACCATGGCTTGGGTCAGGTGCACCTTAGTCCTCAAAGTGACATCATTGCTCTTTAACAGGTCTTGCTTGTAAGAGGTCTTTTGTAGAGCAGATATGCCAAATGCAATATGTTGTTTGATTTCTTGACTACTTTTTCCTTGAGCATTTGTTGGGAAGATGAAATAAAGTATTTGTAGGGCACTTAACAGGGTGCCTAGAAATATGCATATGACAATTGGCCATCATTATTGTTCAGTACATCTAATAACAAGTAACAAAAGTTGATGATTTTTTTCTGATGGGATGTTTTTCATTCATCATCCTTTAACGTTTTGTATCCTTTTATTATTTGCATTGAAATATGAATTTCAATATTTTAATCATAATCTTTATATGAGGCATCTCCATCTTTAAACAGTAAATAAGTTCAAAAATAAGAAAGAACAATGACCTTAATAAAGCGTGAGTAAAAAACATCAGTTTTTACTAGCTATCATATTTATGTCTTAATATTAAAATGCTTGTTTTTCAGATACCAACAAACCAGGGCTCTGATGAAAATGTCTCAGATTCTAGTCAATGATGAGAATGCCAAGGAGATGAAAAATGCCCCAATGGTTGTGAAAAAGGTAGAGAAAGTGGGAGGGAAAGTGTGGTTATAATTTCTCCTAATTATCCCACAGTCTTTATATAGCTTGTTCTTCTCCATATAATGAGGTGGAACTCATATTATAAAAACCTTATAAATCAGAAAATATGAGAAGATTGAGGCAAGTTCTAGACATAACGTACTAAATTTAGAATTTTTGTTGCTAATTTGATTGCTAGGTAAAATTGAGATCTATGAGGGAAAAAGAATAATACCTTTACTTTTTAAAAAAATTCCATATATAGAAGTTTTATTAGATTATCTATAAAGATTGTAA